CGATTATTATTAATATTAGATAGTATTATTATCATGATTACCATTATTATTATTATTATTGTTTAAAAAGCAAGTGAGTCCTTGGATTTGAAATTCTAACGCTTTCATTTATTTACAGCCCACTACTAGCAAAGTAACCACTGAAGTCAAGGTTCAGACGCCAGCATCAAAAAAGGCTTTGGCTGAAAAGGTACGGAACTGAGTTAGCAACAATTATTATTGTTGTTATTATTATTATTGATAAAAAAGCAAGTGGAGCCGTAGATTTGCAATTCTAACGGTTTTATTTATTTTCAGATCGAAGAATTTGAAGTAGCCACTACAGCCAAGGCTGAAACGGCAGCCTCAAAAAAGACTCGTGCTGAAGAGGTACGGAACGCAGTTAGCAACAATTATTATTAATCTTACTATTAGTATTGTTGTTTAAAAAGCAAGTGGGTTCTTGGATTTGAAATTGCAACGCTTTTATTTATTTACAGCCCACTGGTAGTAAAGTAACCACTGAAGTCAAGGCACAAACACCACCTTCAAAAAAGAGTTTGGCTGAAAAGGTACGGAACTGAATTAGCAACAATTATTATTAATATTAGATAGTATTATTATTATGATTACCATTATTATTATTATTATTGTTTAAAAAGCAAGTGGGTCCTTGGATTTGAAATTCTAACGATTTCATTTATTTACAGCCTACTACTAGCAAAATAACCACTGAAGTCAAGGTTCAGACGCCAGTATCAAAAAAGGCTTTGGCTGATAAGGTACGGAACTGAGTTAGCAACAATTATTATTGTTATTATTATTATTGATAAGAAAGCAAGTGGAGCCGTGGATTTGCAATTCTAACGGTTTTTTTTATTTTCAGATCGAAGAATTTGAAGCAGTCACTGCAGCCAAGGCTGAAACGGGAGCTTCACAAAAGACTCGGGCTGAAGAGGTACGGAACGTAGTTAGCAACAATTATTATTGTTATTATCATTATTGATTAAAAAGCAAGTGGGTCCTTAGATTTCAAATTCTAACGGTTTCATTTATTCACAGATCGAAAAATTTGAAGCAGCCACTGCAGCCAAGGCTGAAACGGCAGCTTCAAAAAAGACTCGGACTAAAAAGGTACGAAACGGAGCAACAATTATTATTATTATTGATTAAAAAGCAAGTAGGTCCTTGGATTCAAAATTCTAACGGTTTCGTTTATTTACAGCCCACTGCTAGTAAAGTAACC